TTGTGTCGCCCGCTTCCCCTCGCCCACCCTTAAATTTCCATCACTAACCACTTAGTCATGGAGAGAGCGTGTTTTTTCATTCTGTTTCTAATTCAGCCTTTCTGACCTTGCTTCCTGGTAAATGAGACAGTTCTGGGTTCCTGTATGGTTTCCATACCTGACTCTTGCTTCTATTTTATTTACGATAATAATGATTATATTTTACATTATCCCTCATGCTTACCTTTTAGAATTACCGTACTTTTAAGTTGTTCTTTGATAATTTTACACATGTATGCAATGTATTTTGGATCATATCACCCTCCACTTCCCTACACCAGGTCATCTTGGATCTCTTCATGTTTGCCTTTTTTTTTCTTTTCTTTTGAGCACTTGGAATTTTCTTCTTTTCTGCCCCACAAGCCTCAAGTCTGTCTAATTTTCTCTTGTCTTATAATCTAGGGCATGTGACTCTCTTTATATTTGGAGAAAAAAAAATACTAAATGCCTGCTCCAGCAAGTCAACCTGCCTCCTGTTCTGTTATGTGCCTGTGCCTCCTGCCTCTCCGGACCATCCAGATTCATCTGCTTCTTCGATCTCCTGTCCCTGCTGCCTCTACATTCCTTAACTTTTCTTTTCTAATCACCAGACTTTCAAAGCCTTTCTTCTCTTCTGCATCTGGTCCTTCTCCCACCTGTGAGCTTTGCAGAGACAGCACCCCGCCTTCCAGATGTTTACTCTGTGTGTTGTCTTCACAGAACAAGCCACCCACACCCCAGGCAGTTTATCTCCAGTCATTTGAACTCAGCATCTCATCTAGTAAACGATCTCTCTCCTTGACTAGTCTCTCATCCACCAACCCATCCTTCTGTCTGTTTTTCAGTTCATCTGTCAATCTGTCCATCCTTCCCTCCCACCCAGTGCACTTCCAAGCGTTTACAAAGTGTATTGGTCACCATTGTTCTTCCTTCCCTTTCTCCCGCTTTGAACTCTCTTCCAACTACTTCACTGGCTTGTCAGACAGCTGGCCAGATCACATAGCTCCTTGCTCTTCTCTGTTCAGCTAGCTTCCCTCAGAGACTCCTTTCCTGACCACCTCCATTAGTAGCTCACTCTCTGTCCCGCACCACATCCCTTCCAGTCCATAGCACCTCCACCCACTCTTTGTACATCCTGGTTTTCTGTCTTCCCCTCTAATGTGTAGATGCTCCCCAAGAAGCTTTCCTCTCCTCTTCTACTGACTTTCATACCCCCCCCCCATGCCCAGGACAGTGACTGACTCACAGTTGATGTGCAAAAGTTCATTGCAGAAGGAGTTGTATGTTGTCTCTCTTCAACAACTTTCTCTCTTCTGGCCCAGCAGACAGATGACACCTCAGCTGGAAGCCAGGTCTATGGACTTTCTTTGAGAAACTCTTACTGTTTTCTGGTCTCCTAAGCTGCACAAGAGAAGCCTAGTGCCAGCTCACCCTCTATTCTTCGTCGATATCCTAATTTGTACAATGCTGTCCTTGTGAATATTTGTTTCTTCGCCACTCTCTTTCTTTATCCTTGAGTAGGTACCTTATTCCATGTTGTGTTGCTGTAACAAAATGCCCAAGACTTGGCACTTTCTAATGTAAACAGGTTTATTTGGCTCATGATTCTGTCGTTGGGAGCGTTTAAAGAGCCTGGGGCTAGCATCCTATCAAAGATCCCCTTATTGTGTCGTAGCAGCCCAGAAGAGCAGAAAGTGGGCCAGTGGCATATGGAAAGGGCTAAGCATGTGGATGGCCTCCCCATAGCAACCTGCTCTCATGAGAGCAAACTAGGGCCCCAAGAGAACTATATTAGTCTTTCCTAAAGACCATTTCCAGTAATCTAAATATATTCCATTAATCCTCACCTCTTTAAAAAAAATTATTAGCTCTGAGAATTTCATACAATGTAGTTTGTTCATATTCTCAGATCGACTCCCTGTCTTCCCACCCAACTTTGTGTGTGTCCCGATGGAGTAATATCCTCTCCCCGCTTCTCCTTTTAAAGATTCTACCCCGCCCATCATCACACTGAAGGGTGAGCTACCAGCACACGAACCTTGGGACACACACAATCTACAACCAAACCCAGATGGGAAGAGACCTCAGACTGTAGGTCTGAGAAACCTCAGTAGATGAGTGAGTGGGTACCTGGAAGGAAGGGAGGACTTCAGACTGAGAGGGCCAGGGAGGGTTTCATGGCAGAACAAATGCATTGTCAATCACTGAGACACTCTAGAGCACTTTGGGACCCCAGAACAACCTCATCTACCCACTAGGGAACTTGTTAGAGATACTGTGACCCCCATCTCACACCTACTGAGTTAGAAACCAGCATGGAGCACAGCAGCAGGAGCTTTATCAGTGCTCTTTCCAGGGCATTCTGATGCATGCTCAGGTTTGTACACCACTACTGTAGACGGTCTTCATTTAATAGGTGGGGGAATCAAGTCTAGGGTTAGGGAGATGACATGTAGGAACACACACACCTGTCTGGTACCCAGGATATCCCATAGCTCAGGGCTCGGCTCTGGCCACCCAACCAGGATGCTTCACGTGGTATTATTATTATTATTATTATTATTATTATTATTATTATTATTATTATTTATCTTCTAAATCAGAAAGAACCTTGTATTCATCAGCCACTCTAAAAGCACTGGGATTGAATCTCCACTCTGACCGAGGTTCTGATTTCACTGGGGGTTTGCCAGGATTCACGAAACACAACTTCTCATCATTTCTATAGGGCTCTGAGCGGCAACAGTGAGCTGGGCTGTGGCATTTCCCCAGAGGTGGCTCTGACGGCCGTGTAATGCGATCACTCCTGCCTGGCTCTCACCTTGGTTTCCCAATGCCCAGCTCATGTGATCCAGTTTCCTCTGTGCGTGGGAGAGGACATGTGAGTCAGGCCATTGATGCCAGGAGGGCCCAGGAGCTTGGGCACTACCCATATGTCTGGCACAGCTGCTTTTCTTGCTCAGAGTTGCATTTGTCCAGCACCTTCCAAAGGGGTTTTGTAATTCCTGGCCAGACTTCTCTATATGTGTGTGGGTTTTTCCAGTCAAAATCATTAATAGTATAAAAAACTGTTTAACTCTTCACCTTACCCGGCACCTTTTCTGATTGCTAGTAGAGATGCTCTTCCTATTGAGTTTTAAGAAGTCAACTTTCTAGTTTACTTTTATGTGTGTGTGTGTGTGTGTGTGTGTGTGGAGTATTCCTGTGCATAGGAGTTTGTGTATATGTGGAAGCATGTATGTGATTAGAGGATGCCTTTAGTGTCACTCCTCAGGTACCATCCCCTTGCTTGAGACAGGGTCTCTGACTAGCCTACTACTTCACCAAATAGGCAAGGCTATCTGGCCAGCAAGCAAATTTCCCATCTCTCTGTCTATGGGATTACAGGTACGTGTGGCCATGCCCAGTTTTTATGTGGGTACCAGGGATCTGAAATCAGGTCCTCATGCTTGCCAGGAAAATGCTTCAAACGGCATCCTCTACCCAGACCTTGTTGTTTGTTTGTTGATAGTACCTATCTTAGGGGCAGGAGAGATGGCTCCGGGGTTAGGAGTACTTGCTATTCTTGCAGAGGACCAGGATTTAGTTCTCAGGACACCACAACCATCTGTATCTCCAGTTCCAAGGGATCTGATGCCCTCTTCTGGCCACTGAAGGCACTGCAAACATATGGTGCACAGTCATACACCCAGGAACACACACATACACATAAAATTATTAAATAGTATTTAACAATCTTAGCAGGGATGACTTGCTATTTGTGGTGGTTTGAAAAAAATGGCCCCCAAAGGGAGCACTATTAGGAGGTGTGGCCTTGTTGGAGGAAGTGTGTCACTGTGGAGGCGGGCATGCTCAAGATACCAATACCGTCCAGTGTCCCAGACTACTTCCTGTTGCCTGCAAGCCAAGATGTAGGACACTTGGCTACTTCTCCAGCACGATGTCTGCCTGCATGCCATCATGTCGCACCATAATGATAAAGGACTAAACCTATGAAAATGTAAGCCACCCCAATTAAATGTTTTTTTTTTTCTTTATAATAGTTGCTATGGTCATGGTGTCTCTTCACAACAATAGAAACCCTAACTAAGATAGTCTCTTGGTCTTGGCTTGCCTCTCCTTAATGTTTAGTGATTTGGGGGGAACCTTTTCCTGTACTTTGTGGCTGTTTTTGTATCATCCTTGGAGAAATGTTTGTTCAAATTCCTTTGGCTAGTTTCACTCTGCAGATGTCTTTGTATGCTGTAGATATTGATGGCTCTGTAGAAAGGTGACTTAGTTAGGGTTTTATTGCTGTGAAGATATACCATGACCATGGCAACTTTTATAAAGGAAAACATTTAATTGGGGCTGGCTTAGAGTTTAGGGATTGAGTCCATTATCATCATGTCAAGAAGCATGGCAACATGCAGGCAGACATGGTACTGGAGAGAAAGCTGAGAATTCTACATCTGGATTGGTGGGCAGCAGAAAGAGAGTGTGACACCTGGCCTGGCTTGGCCTCCTGAAACCCCGAAGCCTACCCCCAGTGACACACTTCCTCCAACAAGGCCACACCCACTCCAACAAGGCCACAACTCCCAATAATGCCAATCACCATGAGCCTATGGGGGTCATTTTCATTCAAATCACCACAAAAGGTAATTTTCAAATATTCCCTCCCATTTTTGGTGCTCTCTTTCTTTGTTGAGAATGTTCTGTGGTTCACACACCTTTTCATTTTGATACATTGACGGATCCAATCTCATGAAGCTTTCTCTTACATTTTTCCTAAATAGTTTTGCCTCTTTTAGCTTTGATAGAATTTTTGAGTTAATATTTGCGTGCAGGATAATGGAAGGTCCCGTTTCATACTTTTGCCTGTGGGTGTTGAGTTTCCCACTGTGTGGTCTTGGCCCCGTTCACCCACATGCTCTGGAGTTGACATGATTTGCTTGGGATGACACTGTGTATGCTAAAACATGTGCGTTTCTCCTGCCCAGGAAGCATCACATTGTTCGCATTCATCACCGTCATCCTGGGATGCTTGAAAGTCGCATACTTCATTGGATTTTCTGCGTGCTTGTCAGCCACAGAGGGTGTTTTCCCGGTCACCCATGCAGTGCATACGCTGTTGCAGGTGAGCCATTGGTGCTTCTTCATGCTGCCTCTGCTCCTGGGCAGCTCGTGTGCAAAAAACCACAGCATCAACACAGCTAGCTGGCAGGGCCCAATTTAGGATATTTCTGTGGCTCCCATCAGGAATCATGAGCTGGTCCAGGCGCTTCTCTGGAACACTGGGACTCTTTTGTTTCCCCTCTTGTGGGCTGGAACCTTTTACAACACTATGAGGTTCTTGTTTTCGGCACGGACGATGAACTTTGTTTCTTTAAGAAGTAAGGATTTGATAGATGCCATTTGAATGCATAGCTCACGGGCAGAAAACACACCCCCTGACTGCAGAGAGTCTTAGATAGACCCCAGTGCGGCACCTGGCCTTAGTGGGGCTCTTCAGTGGCTGAGAGTTACTCTGATAGGGAAAATCATGGCCAGTATCTTTATAGCACTTGAGGATATAGAAAGTGTTTTCTTGTGTTGAGTTCTTGTCCCCAGCTGATGGACCTAGAAGGTAGGTCTTGGCTGGGATTTTGATGGCTACTAGCACAACCACTGGGTCTGGCCTTGTTCCTGTCCCTTTCTCTGCTTTTTGGTTTGACATAATATGACAAGCCTCTGTCACACACTCCTGCCACCATAAACACCATGAGGGGACACCCACACAATCCTTCCTCCTTTTAGCAGTTTCCTGTCAAGAATTTTGGTTCCATTTGATGCAAAGTAACAAATACAGTGTTGGTTGATGGATAGATGAGGAAAGATGCTATGTATCCACAATAGTATACTATTCAACCATAGCAATAGTGAAATTCCACCACAGGCAGCAACATGATGGAGCTGGAGGATGTTACATGAAATGAAATCAGTCCAGGATGAAGACATGAGCTCATGTAGCTCAGCTTGGCCAGGAAGGCTTGGAACTCCTGATCTCCCTGCTTCTACCTCTGAAGTTCTGGGACGATAGGCCTGTGTGTTAATACTTCTGTTTATGTAGTGCTGGAGACTGACCACAAAGCTTCATGTATGCTAGGCTGGCATTCTACCAACCGAGTCACATCCCAGCTAGCCAGGCATTGAGAGACAGACACTATGCTCTCACAAGGACAGTAAAAAGTTGATTGTGTGGAAATGCAGAAAGAATAGTGACTACCAGAGCCTGGGAAGGCTGTAGGTGTGTAAGGGCTGGCGAGAGGACAGCGACTAGGTACAGAGGGTGGCTGGAGAGGAGCGAGAAGGTCTACTGTTCTACAGCACAGTGGAGGGAAGGGGCAATGATGGGTGGCAGAGACTAACTGAGTATTTCCAAGTAACTAGTAGAGCCGGCATGTTCTCAACACGAAGAAACGAGCAAAGGGGCTCAGCCGTTAAAGGCACGCGTGTACAAACCTGGAGACCTGAGTCCAGGTCCTGGAACCAATTCCACAAAGTTTTCCCTTGACCTCCACAAGTGTGCACATGCACACGTGTGCATACGCACACATGCACACACACACGCACACGCACATGCACGCACACACACATAGAATGACTCTATGTGCTCATTGCACACTGCACGTGTGGGAAGTGCACTGCACAGCATAGCTATGTCCAGTTAGTGTGCTAATCAATAGCAAGCATATTTTAACACAAGAACAGATGCTAGGTCATCAATCTTTTCTTTACTCTTTTTTTAAAAATTTTATATATCTAAGGTGTATAGCATGATGTTTTCACATATGTACACTTGGGAGATGTTATAGTCAAGAAAATTGCTATATCTGGTGCCTCGGTTTCCCTTCTTGGTCTTATTAGTGGGGAGAGCACCTCTAAGGCAGTGCCAGCAAGCCTGCAGTAGACCACACAATATCCCGCTGTAACCCTTATCTTGGCCATCGGCCCTCAAGACAGCCGTCCTGCATGCCTGCCGGTTTGGGCCCTTTGCCTGCATCATCCCACTCCTGCCCCACTCAGTCTCTGTTCTACTGTGTATTCAAGTCTTCATTTTTGAGATTCCATAATTTGGTGGGCTCCTGTCTGTCTTCCTGTCCCTGGCATATTTTATGTAATGTCCCCCAGGTTTGTCCACAGAGATGATAGAATTAAGCCTTGTGGTTTTCTGAGGAAGTCAGTGGAGCTCAGAGAAGACCAGAGATTTGCTTATATCATGACAAGAAGCAAAGATATTTCCTCCTCCCAAGGAACCCTGGGGGACTATGAACTTGGTTCAGTGAAACTTACCGTTCAGATGCTCTGGACTTACAGCTTGAAAAGACCCTTCTGAAGCCGTGTTGAACCCCAGGAAAGGGAAATCATCTTCTGTTCAAAGACATTTCTAGTTCACACACATCTTAGGGTTCGCAGACAGCTCAGAGGATTAGGAATGCTTCTAACACGCCATCCCAGGCAAGAGCAGCTGAGGAGAGGTAGCAGAGGAGCTTGGGCAGCTTGGTTTGGTGGTGGACTGGTGGGAAAGGCTGGGAGATCGCGAGGGGATGAAGGGGAAGGGGCTGCCTCACAGGTAAAAGCTGTTGTGTCCATTTGATGAATTCTGCTTCTCAGCATCTTAGATTGTGCCAATAGTGGAGGACTGGGCCTTTCAGAGGAAAAGGGAGTCCCTGGGGTGGCCCTGACCCAATAAATCATGTGTCCTTATAAGGCAAGCTGGAACACAGGCACACACAGAAGGACAACCATGTGAGGTCTCACATTGAAAGGTATCATCTACAGGTAAGGAGAGAGGCCCTAGGAGAAACCAACTCTGCTGACATCTTGAACTTGGACATTCAACTTCCAGGACTGTAGATGTGTTTAGATTAAGACAGCTGACCTCTGGGACACGGTGATGGTAGCTTGATCAGTTATAGCCCCCCCCTCATCCACAATAGATACCCTCAATCAAATGTAGCCCCATCCACCGTAGATACCCTCAGTCCAATGCAACCCCCCATCTATAGTAGACATCCTCAGTCAAATGTAGATCCATCTATAGTAGACATCCTCAGTCAAATGTAGATCCATCTATAGTAGACATCCTCAGTCAAATGTAGTTCATCTATAGTAGACATCCTCAGTCAAATGTAGATTCATCTATAGTAGACACTCTTGATCAAATGTACCTGCAGCAGACATTCTCAGTCAAATTTAATCTTCTACCTACCTTAGATATGGTTGCTGGAAACTTTGGGGAGCTCCATCTGGGGTACCGCATATTTCTGGGTAAATTAGGGTCCCCCCTCAGGGCTCTTAGCCTCATTAATAAAGAAATGAAGGAAGTACTCAGAAGGAAGCTTGTAGACAGTTTTATTAGAACTTAAAAGGGAAACAACAGAGCTGGGAAGCTGCAAGTCTTGGCAGCTGCCAGGAGAAGGGATACGGAGAGGACGAGAGAAAAGCATGCCTACTGAGGTTAGCAAGCTGCCACATGGCAGACAAGCAGCTGCATAGAGAAGCAGACCAGAGAAAGAGTGAAGGAGCCAAAAAATAGCCAAAAGAAGGGACATGAGGCTTAAAAAAAAGTTATTCTGAGTAACTCAGAAAAATGGGTAAACTTAACCTAGCCCTCATGGTGACCGCACAGAGGGTGGGGATTCTGGGAAGGAAAAGCACATTATCTCATTAAGGGAATAACTATTCCTCCCATATGTTTAGCATGGTGTAAAGTGAATCCACCTTCCTGAGGGGTGGTCCTTGGCCAGGTGATTGATGGACGCAGCTGGGTTCATGCCTATGTTCTGGGTAGATTGGGATGTTAGTTCTCCATCCAGGCAAGAGAATTTGTTCCCTTGGCTAGGAGGAAATGCTTTTCCTTAAACAGTCTCAATAGAGTTCTGGTCTTTCAATGCTGCTGTAACAATATCCTTAGTCAAATGCTACCCTCCATCTGCTTCAGATAGCCTCAGTCAAACACAGTCCTTCATCTACTGCAGAAATCCTGTGACCTCACCCTGTAATGCTTGGTGCTCTGACCAGGGTGGCAGAGCATAGAAGAGGGTATCTGGCCAGTGTGGGGTGAGGTACCATGTTTGCCAGGGCAAGACTTCTGGTCACACCAGGAGCACGCTCTTGTGTGTGCATGCTGCGTGAGTGTGTGTGTGTGTGTGTGTGTGTTTGTGTGTGTGTGTGTGTGTGTGTGTGTGTGTGTGTGTGTGTGTGTGTATGGTTAGGCATGTGCACATTGTTTAGACGCCATCTGTCCTAGTCAGCTTCTCTGCTGCTGTGAAAAAATACTGGCCAAAAGCAACTTGGGGGCAGAGTTTATTTGGCTTACAGGTTACATATAGTCCATCATCGAAGGAGGGCAAGGCAGGACCTCAAGAAAGGAACCTGGAGGCAGAGACACTTCTTACTGGCTTGTTCTCTCTAGCTTGCTTACTTAAAAGTTCGTCTTTATTTTATGTGTATAAGTGTTTTGTCAGCGCAATTGCTGTGCCCCTGGAGGCCAGAAAGGGTATTAGAACCCCTGGTCCTAGAGTTATAGACAGTTGTGAGCTGCCATGTGGGTGTTGGGAATTGAATCTTGTTCCTCTGGAAGAGCAGCCAATGCTCTTAACCGATGCACCCTTCCACGAAGCTACCATACTTATACAGCTCAGGTCCAGCTGCTTAGGGACGGCGTTGCCCACAGTGGGCTGGGGTTTCCCACATCATTAGCAATCAGTAAACTGCTTCACAAGCATAGCCATGGGTCAGTCTGATGAAGGTAATTCCTCCTCCAACGTGACTCTGGGTTGTGTCTAGTTGACAGCTGAAGCTAACTATGACGCCATCTATTTTTGTATTTTGAGACAGGTTTCTGATTGGCTTGGGGCTTGGCAATCCAGCTAGGTTATTTGCTCAGTGAGCCATGGGGGTTCAGCTTTTCTGTGGGTCCCAAGGATAGGACTCAGGTCCTCGAGCTTCTGCAGCAAGTCCTTTACTAGAGTGAGCTATCTCCTATGTGATGTATTTCTTTCCTGTTTTTAACCTTCCTTGACCCAAATTTTCTGATATTTAAAGACTGTATTTATTCTTTGACAATTTTATGCATGTGCATAATACACTCTGGTCACATCCATCTTCACCCTCTCTGGTCCCTCAGGCACTCACACTAACACTCCCCTCCTCCATCAAGTCCCCTCCCAGTTTCTTGTCTTTTTATTTTGCTTTGCTCATTGCTTTATTTAACCAGGGCCACCCGTGTGAGCTCTGGAACCTAAAACACTCCTGGTCCCATGCATTCCAGTCCACAGGGAGACAGCCTGTTCCAGCATCCATGCCTCTCCTTCTCCCCTGCACAGTTAATGATGGCATGGCCAGGGGGCTGGATAGCATAAGTAAGAGCCAAAAGGAGCCCAACCCAAACCAATCCTGCTCTTCCCCGAAAGTGCTCAGTCTTTGCTTTCTGGACATTGGTGCAGAGGAGCTGTTCAATGGACAATTATTGGATAAAACCTGACAAATACAGCTAAAAAACAACTTAGTGAGTTTCATGACAAACAGATGGATGCCCACATGCCTATCCCAGACCAATGGCAGCACAGCTCCATCCACAGCAGACATCACCAAACAGTTCTAACTCTACCTTCCCAGGAGACCCCCTCAATCAAATACAGATCTCCACCCGTAGCAGACATTCTTAATTGATTGCAGCACTCTTTCCGCCTGTCTTGGGAGGCCCCACCTGACTTCTCGCAAGATCACTATTCCCACTGCAGAATGGCTCTGCTGAGGAGAGTCATCTCTTTCCCCCCAGTTTTATAACTTCTCAAGTGTGCAGACAGAATGGCAGTTTCCTCACTAATATGTTTTCCTTGATTTCCATCTAGGTCTATTTTCTCTGGGGCCATGCTAAGGATATTATCCTGTCTTTCAAAACCCTGGAAAGGTAAAAACTTCGAGCAATTGCTTTACTTCTTGGTTGATATTTGTTTAGATTAAATGTTAGAAGAAACCAGACTCAGGCCTGGCATCCAGCTGGGGCTATCAGCCCCGAGAACAGAGTCCTGTTCCAGCCCAAAAGCAAAGCCCTTCTAGAACTTCAGTTCCTCCCAAGCCATTCCTGGAAGACAAGGATGTGGGTGGGAACTTTTCTGTCATCGCCTATTTCCCTTTCGCAGCCCTCAGTTTACTCATCTGTGAGGTGGGAGCAGTGAGGTGGCCTACCGCTGAGGATAACTGTTACAAAGTGCATGCATGACCTGTGTCCATTGAATGTTGAGCCCGTCACCAGTTCTCCCTGGTTATGATGTGGTCAAGGGAAGATGGGCCAGAAGGAAAAACTCTCCAAGGGCAGGTTAAACATGGATGGATCGAGGAACTAACACGTGCTCTATGGAAAGACCTAGTGTTACATACACCATTTCCATGGAGGAATCAACTCCTCCCTTCCAGCATTTGAGATGACCACTGGCCTTGAGAAGATTGGTTGATGTGTGACCACTGGGTAGAACGGCTACAGCAAGCTGCAGATGTAGAGATTAAGTCTATTGCCAAGCACATCCTTTGTGTTTCCAGTTTGCACAGGGCCAGTAGCTTGGTGCTGTGGGGTGGGTGGTGATGATACTGAGGTGTCCTTGGCTGTGTGGGAGGCACCCTGGGGTTTGCATCCATCATGTGGCTGGGGCAGTGACCTTGGCAGTGATCTTTAACCTTGGTGTCAGGAATACCAGACGCCCCACCTCCTGGGCAAGGTGGGCAGGGGATGAAGTATGCTCACATGGTTCCCCCAACTGAAGGGGTAGTCACTGAGACCCAGGACCTCCAGAAGCCATCACTTAAGGCTGATGAGGTGGCTCAGTTGGTAGAATGCTTGTCTAGCATGCATGGTCCTGGGCTCAATCCCTAGCACTGAATAAACCAGGCATGGTGGCGCTTGTCTGTAGCCCAACTCAGAAATAAGAGACAGGAGAGTCAGGAGGTCAAGGGTCATTCTTGGCTATGTAGGGACACTGAGATTGAGGCCAGCCTAGGCCAAGGCTTCCATGGCTACTATCACATCTGGTCTCTACCCATTTCGGGGTGAGGGTATGCTTTTCCATCTGTTAATGTGTCGAGCAAGATGGCAGACATTTTGAATTCCTACCACTCTTAGATTTTTTTAGATGTCAAGTTCTTCAGAAAAAGTGGAAGATGAGGTCATCTCAAGCATATGTCATGACTGAGGCTAGAGTTGAATCCAGCGTGCTCCTCTAGGGAGGGCTGGCCTCACTTGAGGACAGTTGCCACAGTTCTATGCTAGTTACTATGTTGGCCATTCTGGCTGGGTCCTGTGGACTTAGGACTTTACTTAGCCTCCTGCATGAGCTGTATGAATGACATCCATCCTGCTCCATCCTTTGTCAGTGGCTTATGCAAAGTTCCTCCCAGGTAGGGAATGCCCCTTTTGGGATTCCACCCATCTCTTTCCCCAGACATGCAGTTGAGAGGGCCTATGGTTCTTCACACATCTTAGGAAGCACAGACGGATACTAGAGATGACTCCTGGGATGCATCCTGTCACCATGGTCGAGATGTACAGGCACTAAGTGTGGCGAAGGCCTCAGGCATGGGACATGACACTTGTCCTTAGCTTGAAGGACCTTTTTTCAAATTGACCTTGGAAGACTACGGTTCTTAGGGCGGTGCGTGGCCAAACAGCGTGACCCTTGGTGACCTCATACTGATTCTGTGGCTTCAGCAGGCTCAGGATTGGACATGGGAACAGGAAAAGGGGAAACAGAAGGGCAGCTGTGTGCACTGTAATAAAAGAAAGCCACCTGCCAGAGGTAATGGCATTGTCTTGTTTCATTGACCTCTGTTGGGTCTTGTTTTTATCAGATGGGCTGTCAAAGGCTGTATAGAGCAAGCGGGTTGTGAGTTGTAGCAACAGGGCAGGCACAGGACCAGGCCGATGGACAGACACTCGTGCTGTCTCCTTTTTTCTGCCTTAGTTCTGGTAGTTGGGCAGATGCCAAGGTAGCCGTATCACACAGGAAGGTGTTGCCTTCCCTGGCTCTTGGGGTGCCTGGACTCAGCTGGGTTGGACACTCAGGGGAGAGGAAGGGAGGCCTGGGACAAAGATGTTTCTGTGTTCCCGTAGCTCAGTCATGGATAGGTGGGTGGTCTCTGAGCTGGACAGGAGAGCACACACAGCTACCTCTGGGTAAGCCAGGGAAGTACCCACAGCTGCCTTTAGGCTTTCCTCTCCAGTCTACTGTTGGATGCCTCTCCTGGATAGCCAGGCTGCTGTGCCGTAGAGTGCCCAGAAGCTACCTTAAGTGAATACAACTGCAGCCACAGTAGGATGTAGGGAATTCACAGGACCACGTGGAGACCATGTGTCCTTCCCATCTCTCTTCTGTTCCCTAGAGTCCAGTCTCACGTGTGCCCTCTTCCCAATGAGGTCATAGTGTGGTTTAGAGGCTAAAATTATTTCCACTACTTCAGCATGGCCACTTCAGGTGTGACAGTGGAGGAATTCCTGAGCCTAGCTGGGACTTTAGAAGCCCAAAGTGTCATCTGGAGCAGGCTTCTTCTGTGTTTACACTCTGCCCTCCTTGGTGGGTTGGGGCTTCATCCCATACTGGTTGGCTCATGGTTACAAGATGACGGCCACAGCCTCAGCCTTCACGTCCTCACTCAAGACTGTTAAAGGAGACAATGTTGAAAGGAAAAGGGGTCCATAAACAGACTTTTCTAATTTGTATATCATCAAACAAGCCAGAGCTTTTCAGTAATTCACCATAGATTATACATTATAATGGCCCTAGTAAGACAGGCCAAGACCAGCTGCAAGGAAAGCCATGAGCACGTGTGTGCAGATTGTTTTTTACTGGCAGGTGGGAAAGCGGAGGAAATGGATGGCGATGGTTTCCGGGTTGGTCAAAGACATCAAGGGTGTCCCTACTGCCCGCAGTCCACCTGGCCCTTCCATCCCCTTCAGAGTTCGCTCTTTGTTTCCCCTTTGGAGAAAGAGTGGGCTCCGGGTGTGGTTGCTTGCCTTTAGTACATTTCCTTCCCCATGTCCCTGTTCCCAAGATGCAGTGTCTTTGATGTCCCACAGACAATGATTTAAAGACAGGCAAGTTCAAGGTGAAGGCAGAATGCCCAGATGCTCTGACTCTCAGCCAGCTAGACCAAAGGCTGAGAGAGGAGGAGTGTGAGTGTGAGTGTGTGTGTGTGTGTGTGTGTGTGTGTGTGTGTGTGTGTGTGTGTGTGTTTGCACATGCATGGGATGTCTCAGCCTTACCCACGGGCTCGGCCCCTTCCCAGGGCCACTCAAGAGCAGGTGTCCTGAGATGTGTGCTTTTTCAGGTTCGGGGTGATCCACTCGGTGTTCACGAACCTGCTGCTGTGGGCCAACAGCGTCCTGAATGAATCAAAACACCAACTGAATGAGCACAAGGAACGGCTTATCACGCTGGGCTTTGGCAACATCACCATAGGTGAGGGAGCCTTCCCCTGCCTGCTCGACCAGTCAGGTCCCTGGGGAGCCACCCGAGCAGATAGACCCTACTGTGGACAGTTTCTCTAACTCCGCAGGCCTTCATTCTGCCTCCCCAAGGCGGTAATTATAGGCTTCACCTGGCTTGGGCATGTGGACACCCAGGGTTATCATTTGGGTGTCTGTCTCTCACAGCCCATTGGCTGGAGAGCTCCGTGTCTTTTTTTTCCCACTGTGGAAGATTGGTGGTTTTCTCTGTTGGCGTTTTAATTAGGACTCTTTCAGCCGGTCTTTCTTTTGAGAGGTTGGCCTGTGAACCCCAGGGAGCTCTCAGCCTGCCTTCGCGCATGTGAAGGTTTTCAGCTGACTGACTGCAGTTGACTCATTATTTGGGCTCATCTTTATTTTTCCCTCGCTCTGCTGGGGAGTTAGCCTGGGGTGGGGGTGAATCATCCTCACATCTTCTCCTGGAGTTCTTGAGCATGTGTGGCTTCACCACATCTGTCTGAGAACATCTGGACCGAGAAGAAGGCAGGATGGAGCACAGTGCACCGGGAAGTGGAGAATTTGAGTTTGGGTCTTGTTTTTATCATATGCTAGCTGTGTGGCCTTTGGAGGCTATTCAACCTCTCTGGGCCTGCCTTTCCTCTTTGTAAAGTAAGGAGACTCCAAAACTCTGTGCTTTCAAAGATCCTTCTGGCTGCAGCCTTCTGTGCGTGGGGCTAGGCAGAAACGTGGTTCTGTCAGGCTACACGAATGACTTCTACAGGTCTGTGTGGGAAGGACTCTGTCTTTGGCCTTACTTCCTCTTGGTTACAATAGCAGCCACAGCAGTGACAATTTCATAATAGAAGCAAACTTTTATAGGCACTGCCTGGTTTTTATTAGGCACGTGCTGACTGCCAGGAGGGCTCTAAGTATTTCACAAGGCTCATTAACTCTGGCCTGGCCTTCCTCTGAGGTGGGCAGTATTAACCATTAATGGTTAGAGACATTGTGCCACTGAAAAGTGATGTGTCTGAGGTCAGCAAGAGATTAAAAGTTCCCGACTATCTCTTTCCATTTTAGTGACATTTAAGTGAGAGCTTTTTCTAATCAGAAGGGACATTTCCCACAGAGCCTTGAATCATATAGTCTAAACACACACACACACACACACACACACACACACACACACACATCATATTCACAGAGAAAATTAGACATTGTAGGGAAGCAAGATCTAGAAAAAAAACCTTAAACCCCTGCCTCTTCCCACCAGAGAGAACCGCCACTACCCTTCTGGTTTATGCGCTTCTGGACCTTTCCTCTGTTTATGAATCAATCTATCACTTATCACTGTCACCCCTCTCTCTTACATAGGTGGTCCACTGTCTCAGCCCTCTTTAGCAGCCTGCTTTTGAAGTTCAGTGGTAGCTCTGGACCATCTTTATGTGGTGATGAGTAAATCTCTACAATACTATTTATAATAGTGCCATTATACACTAGCATCCCACTAGAAAATGGCTGATGCCATTCTGGGGGCGAATCCCTGCTTCTTTTTCTCCATCGCCATGGCATTAAACATGATGCTAAACATGGCTCATGTACATTTTGGGTCTAGTGGTGAGGTCCAGGCTGATGGGCTTACTAGTCTCCTTATTGCCTGTGCTGATGGTTGTCTTCTGTCCTCTGCCTGTTGCCCTAGTTTTGGATGACCACACACCACAGTGTAACTGCACACCACCTGCCCTCTGCTCTGCCCTCTCCCACGGAATCTACTATCTGTATCCCTTCAACATCGAGTACCAGATCTTGGCCTCCACCATGCTCTACGTGCTGTGGAAGAACATTGGGCGCAGGGTGGACAATTCCCGGCACCAGAAGATGCAGTGTAGATTCGACGGGGTCCTGGTGGGCTCTGTGCTGGGCCTGACAGTCCTGGCTGCCACCATCACCGTGGTTGTGGTGTACATGATCCATATCGGGCGCTCCAAGTCCAAGAGCGAGTCGGCACTCATCTTGTTCTATTTGTATGCCATCACTGTGCTACTGCTCATGGGGGCCGCTGGGTTGGTAGGAACCTGGATTTACAGGGTGGATGAGAAATCCCTGGACGAGTCCAAGAACCCTGCACGCAAGCTGGATGCCGACCTCTTGGTGGCCACAGCCTCGGGCTCATGGCTTCTCTCCTGGGGCTCCATTCTGGCCATCGCCTGTGCTGAGACCCGCCCACCGTACACCTGGTACAATCTGCCCTACTCTGTCCTGGTGATCGTGGAGAAGTATGTCCAGAACCTTTTCATCATCGAGTCGGTGCACCGCGAGCCCGAGGGGGTCCCCGAGGATGTGCGCACTCTGCGCGTGGTCACCGTCTGCAGTGGTGAAGCTGCTGTACTGGCTGCATCCAGTCTCGGGAGCCAGGGGTTGGCTCGGGATGGGTCATCTACCGTCAATGGGAATCTGTGTCCGCAGCAGGGATGCGGTAAAGAGGACCAGGAGGCTGTCTGGGAAGGGGCTGCGGGCGCAGTCCGCTGTCCGGACTTCCTGCAGGGCGGAGTCAAGAGGAGGCTCCTTAGAAACATCACGGCCTTTCTGTTCCTTTGCAATATCTCGGTAATCTTCAGCAAACTGTTGCCCGCCCTCCCTCCCTCCCCCCCTTTTTCTTTCGTGTGTGTGCACAAGTATGTGGAGGCCAGGATTTGATGTTGAGACATCTTCCTTAATCGATTCTCTACCCTGTTTTTGTGAGCCAGCATCCCTCATCCTGTGCTTTTCATTGGTTAGACTAGCTGGCCAAAGAGTCCCAGGGAACCCCCTCTCTCCACCGCAGCCCCTCAGCTCTGAGTTACAGACACATGGCTCCCAGCCAGGCTTTCTATGTGGTCCTCATGATTGCCCAGCCCAGCACTTTCCCATTGACCCTCTCCCTAGTCCCAAGTATTCAAATCAATATTGTCCTCACCTTTCCCCAACAAGGACCAGGAGCTATGATGAAAATAAGAAATCCACTCTGGCAAATGAGTGGAGGTTGACCACTGGGATAGAGTGGGGAGGCTACTGCAACAGCCCTGGCAGAGGGATGGCCTGGGTGGGTGGAGGTGGGGACTCACAGAGAGACTGGGGGCATCTCACGTAGATAGGGTGGTAGAGCCAAGTGGGAGAATTGGAGGGGAAACACATGGCCCTGTGATCTTGGAGCAAGCATCTGGGAGGAAGATGCTGTTGATAAGGGGGACATGGGAACAGCAGAGCGAGTTGAGATGTGCTCCGAACACTCAAGTGACCAGTGGAGAATAGGTGCTGGAGTCCCAGAGTGGCTCAGATGGGGGCTTTAGGTGGAAGCCAAAGGCCTCCAGCTGGTGTTTCTGACTAAGGTTGAGGTGACAGCCCTAGGGGTCATATGCAGGGAGAAAGGACGGGAACTCATGAAGAATCCGAGCAAATGAGGAACTAGACGAGGTCTGAGATGGAAGAGGGGAGCCCCAGGAGCCAGAGGAAAAAAGTGGGGCAGCATATACTCCAGAGAGAGTTCTGCGTGGAGATGAAAAAGAGGGCAGTATGTATTAGTCACTTGCTGCCGTGTAAGAAATAACCCCAAACACAGCAACTTAAAACCATAGGCATTTCATGATCCTAGCCTGGCTGTAGGCTGCTGGCTGCAAGATTTCTCTTTGGGGATTTGGATTCAGCTGCTTTGTGGGTTGCTGGATAGAAGACAGGAGTTCCTTGCAGCTGCCGGTATGGAATCACCTTTTGTCCTTTGCTATGTAGGCTTTTCAGAGGGTAGCTCAGCTAGAGGGTGCAGTGGTCCATGAGCAGGAAGAGAAGTGTCTGAGAAGGATGTGGGAGCAGTAGGTTCTATGAGAGACAAGAGCAGCAGTTTATTATTTTAAGTTGTGTTGGCTTTCTTTGATTTTTTTTCACTCTCATCAGCGCCCTCTAGAGAGAGTTAAGTTACAGATGAGAAAAGCCGAGTGAGTGTGTAAGGGCTTCTGGAATGGAGAGAAATGGATGAGTTTGTGTCTGAAGGCAAGATGAGGGATGGAGAGCATTCAGTAAAGGCTCATAGGTTTGCTGGTTTCCATGGAGGTGAGGAGTGCTGTAGAGTCCCCCTGGCCATTGTGACTCACCGCTGTGTGAGTCTGGCTCAGCACCCATGGTGCCTGGGATTTGCGTGGGGACCCCAGGTATCTCGAAAGCTTCTACCCACGGAGTCAGCCTTTGTGCACTGTGGCACAATGCTTCCAATAAACAGCTCCAGGGAGGAAAAGGGTGATCTGGGCTCACACTTGGGGAGGTTTCAGGTTCCATGGTTGGCTGATTCTGTTGCTTTCAGGCCTGTGACAGGAATATCACGGTGGAAGTGCAGAGGAGAGCGGCTTACCTCCCAGCAGCAGAGTAAAGAGAGGGCAAGGCAGGTCTGGAGACAAGACCTGTCTGTCAGAGCGACCCCCCAGTGACCTCCCTACTTCTGTTTCTCGCCTTGTCGTGGTCCATTCAGCTATGACTCTACCCTGGATTAGCACACCGATGAAGTTGGTTCCCATGTGATCTAGTTAACTTCTAGTAGTCTGTCCGGTAGGGACACATGTACCTCGGGGGTATTGCCAGTGAACCTGTAGCGGAAGCTGGCATCCTTCGGCAGGATTTGGTGAAATGGTGACGGAAGGCTGCCCCTTCTCTTTCAGCTCTGGATCCCCCCCGCCTTTGGCTGCCGCCCTGAGTATGACAACGGACTGGAGGAAATCGTCTTTGGCTTTGAACCCTGGATTATTGTGGTCAACCTGGCCATGCCCTTCTCCATTTTCTACCGGATGCACGCAGCTGCTGCTCTCTTTGAGGTCTATTGTAAGATCTAGCTCGAGTCCCCATGAAAGGGGAAGGGACACAGGAACAAGGGGGCTCTGCAGCCACCTGGGAAGGGCCGGGCTGAGCAAACACTGTCTGACAAAAGCCAGAAGGATGCCTTTTGTCTGCTTGACCGTGTCTGGAGGTGCCCTGGCCCCGGGCGGGCGGGCGGGCGAGAGTGAACAGTTAAAGCAATTGCACAAGGTGGTTGGAGCCTGCCCCTGGTCAGCCAGTTCCAGTCAGATACCAAACGATTTGAGCTCCTTCTGGTGGAGACCCTGTGTTTCAGAAGAAGGTGGTCCAAGTTTGAGGAAAAAGTATGGTGGGGTCATAACATGCATTTCCTGTCAGTAATTTATGTGACTATCTGCAACATTTTCCTGGCCATCTGTGTAGCAATCAATTTATATTTTTTTCTTTCCTTCTCAGGGCTACTGAGTTTAGAAGCAAATGCATTCTAGTTTATAGCTTACTTTTTGAACTGGCTTAATTTGGGGCAAAATTACTTTTAATCAACTGCATGGGAATGTGTACCTAGATTAGTGTAAATGTGCAGAATTACCTAAAATTTTGCTTCATTTTTATTTGTGATCATTTTGAAAGTATCAAAAAATAAATATTGCTGTTCTCTTTTTTGCTACACCTATCTCCAGTTTATTATGTAGAGAATCCACGCACTTCAAAAAAGGAGACAGGAAAAATTACCCATGTTGCATTGTTAACAGTTGCTTTGGACATTGTGGCATATCTCTCAGCTGGGATGGCGTGTAGAATTATTTTTATTTTTTGTACCCACCAGTGATAACCTGGCATTTCTAATTTTATCTTCATGCTTTCCTATTTGACAAACGATGGCACCTTTTCCTATACTTTCTTAAACTCCCTACAATCACCACTTTACTGCTGTAAGATAGTTTATCAAATGAATGTACCATTAACTTCCTTTGCCTCTGTTGGTTTGAGAGTGCTCACAATTTTGCTTTCCTAAGTGATCCTGCAAAACAAAACAAAACAAAACAAAAAAACCCTGTTTGTTTTACATTTCATTTATTTAAAATTGCTTTTTAAAGAGAGTTGGTTGGCCTTCCATGTACACTGGTCCCACGTCTGCGTTCAGACAACTTTGTATAGAAAATGTTTTTCACAACTGGGTCTTAGGGCCAGGGAGATGGCTTGCTACTCTCAAAGAGGGCCAGAGTTTGGTCCCCAGCATGGCATCAGTTGGCTTACAACTGCCTGTAATTCTAGCTCCAGAGGAGTTGACATCCTTTTCTGGCCTCCAAGGGCACCTGCACTCACATTCAAGAGTGTATTCCCCCCCTTCCCAAATAAAAATAAAACAAACCTTTAGAAAAGGAATTGCCTTTTACAATTTTTCTTCTCATTTACCTCTAAACAAGATAATCCAGCAGCCATTTATGTGGTATTTACATTGTGTTAAGTTGTGTGTGTGTGTGTGTGTGTGTGTGTGTGTGTGTGTGTGTTTTGAGGCAGGGTCTTGTATCTTAGCTAGGCTGTTCTCAAAGTTGCTGTCTAGTCAAGGATGACCTTTGACTCCTAATCTTGTTCCCATCTCCCAAGTGGCAGGGTTTAGGCTTGTACTGCCATGTCTGTTTTTTTGTTTGTTTGTTTGTTTTTGTTTTATTTTTCAAGACAGAGTTTTTCTGTGTAGTTTTTGGTGCCTGTCTTGGATCTTGCTCTGCAGACCAGGCTGGCCTGGAAGTCACTGAGATCCACCTGGCTCTGCCTCTGGAGTTGCTAGGATTAAAGGTGTGCGCCACTGCTGCCCGGCATTTTTTTTTTTTTAATTTATTTATTACACATACAGTGTTCTGCCTGCATGTATGCCCACCCACCAGAAGAGGGCACCAGATCTCATTAGGGTTGGTTGTGAGCCACCATGTGGGAGCTGGGAATTGAACTCAGGACCTCTGCAAGAGCAATCAATGCCCTTAACCTCTGAGCCATCTCTCCAGCTCCTGCCATGTCTGGTTTTATGCAGTTCTGGGGAATTGAACTCTGTGGCCTCATGTACCACTTGAGTAAGCCATATCTCCAGGTCTTTATTAGGTTTTTTAAATGACGTAGAGACTATCTGAAGCCCACAGAAGGGGATGCACAGGCTGTATGCACATATACCCTGTTGCTAAGGGACTTGAACCCATGGATTCTGGTAGCCGCATGGGTCCCTGGGGACTAGTGCCCTATGGATAGCAAGGGAATCCATATATAATGTCAGGAAGCCATTCTCAAAGCTTGTAAACATTTTAAAGTCTCCTGAGGAATATTGACACTGGAGTAAGTCTTTAGGTAATTTTACAGAACTATTTTAAAACTGTAATAAAGTGAGTGTATTGACTATAAATACTAGTGTGAACACAGTTACATCCAAGAGGGTTGTTATTTGACAGGCAATAGAAACATCATGTTTTGTTTTGTTTTGTTTTTGTTTTTGTTGTTTTCCTTCATGAGCAAAAACACTTTATATCTGTTTTCGGGGAAGAAAGCTTTTAAAAATAGGCATACATTCTAAAAACAAGAGATGTTTAGAACACCTTTTTTGTGGAACACTGGTTCTCAGCCTGGGGTTTTGCCTCCTCCCCACCCTGCCCCCAGAACATCTGGTGATATCTGCAGACATTTTTAGTTGCTCTCAATACGGGATCTGTGGCCACCTAGTGGTAAAAACCAGGGACACTTCTGAGCACCCTATAATACAGGAGTGGTACACTGAGGTTGAGAAATCACATTGCAGGCACAGGGCTGTTAACCTGGAGTTCCTAGGCACCTGCTAGGAAACACACACACACACACACACACACACACACACACACACACACACACACACACACACACCAAACAAGGTTATTCTTATATGTACTGTACTTGGATGTAACTTGCCATTTTTTCTTAACTCTACATGCTTCTCATCCATTTCCCAATGCCCATGGCCCTGGTTCTCACCCTTCAGCCTGCATAGGCATCACCTTGGGACTTCACAGTGACCCCTGCCCTCTGGGCTGGAAGTCCAGATGCAGCGAGTCTGGAGTGGCTGAGACCTGCTCTTTCATCGGCATCTTGTCAACCCCTCCCCTGCAGAAGCATCTTTTTGGGAGCCTGTCAAGTAATTCAGTACTGTTAAGGCTCCTTAATGACTCTCCTTTCGTGGTACTGGAATATAATTATGGGTGACTTTGGAGACCATTTCCAGGAGATTTATACCTAAAGACTTACTCTAGTGTCAGTATTTCTTAGGAGACTTTAAAATGATTATAAGCTTTGATTTAGACCACTCTATTTGGTCATCTGTGACTTAAGACATTCTGGTACATTCAGGAATTTTCTTTTGTTGTTGCTGTCCCAAACTGCATCACGGAGAGCACCCTTATTTCTGAGTCTTTGGACTTTCCCAGAGTCCTAGTTTATTCAGGCCCAGCAATCATGGCATGAGAATGCATTTCTGAATTTTGGTTGGCATGAATTTGACCCCTCTTCTAAGCTTCCAGCAGCCCAGAGGCCTTGGCTTCTGGATTTAGTCTTCTGTCAAGAAGAGGGAGGAAGCCATCACATTGGACCCAACTGTCTGGACTGTAATTAGAGTGGCCCTGGAGTCCTGCTGGCAGGCTGCTCCACCACCGCCACCACTCATTGACTCTGTAACTTACAAGACCCACTCGGCTGCCCAAACCCACCAAACCCATCATCCTCCCCCTGGTCAACCACCCCCCACAACATCAACAGCCCCCAGAGGCACAAGTACCACCTGCACCAATTGGAAGGAGAGACCCACTCCATTGCTTAAACCCACCAAACCCATAATCTTCTGCTGGCCAACACATCTCCCACAATATCAGTAGGCCCCTAGAGGCACAAACACCACCCGTACCAGTTGGAAGAACAGACTCCATAGGCACAGGTACAACCCACACCTGTTGGAAGAACTGGATGATATGCTGGATCTAGGCACCCAGACACCCACAAACCTCAGCTGAGTGACCCTGTTTGAGCTTGGCCAAGTAAGCACAGCCTCATTGGGCTCAGAGTCTTTTGGGGGTGACCTTTACAGGGAGAGGCCCACCAATAGCAGGCTGCTTTGGCAGAGGGAGAGCTTATTTTCTTCATGCTGGGGCAGTTCACAGGGCTAACACTAAAACAAACAATATCCAAGCTTCAGGTCCTCAGTGCTAGAATAAAGGAATCACAAATTAAGGTAGTGATGAATGAATTTCCTACACATCTGCCTGGCAAGGTACATCAGTCTGTTTTCTGTTGCTATGATACAATGGCCAAGTCTGGATACTTATTGAGAAAAGAGGTTTACTTATTTCACAGTTCTGGAGATTGAAAGTCCAATCAACATGGGTGGGCTCTGCTCCCATCTGGTGAGGGCTCTGGAGCATGGCATTGTGGGAAGACCAAGTGAGAGGTATCAGGACAAGACTGAGAGTCTGAGTAAAGGGAAGGCCAGGATTCCTCTTACAGGGATGCTCTGATGAGGACTAAGTCTGTTTTGTAAGGACCAGTTTGATCCCCCTGAGGGCGTGTCCTCAGTGACTCACCCTCCTCCCACTAGTCTCCACCTTTAGAATGTCCCATCATTCTCTCACCATCCCCACATGGAGGACAGAGCCTCTGACACATGAGTCCTTGGGGGGCACCCTATGTCTCAGTCAAAGCAGTGTGAAAGAAAGAGGACCCTTGTTGGCCGTGGATGAGAGGTGAACTGGTTAGAACCAGCCTGAACAGCTCCTGGCAATGCTGGGTGAGGCTGGAGGTGCTCATTGCTGAAGACTGGGCACTTCCAGACCTCTAGAGGCTTCTAAGATCGGCTCACGGTGGCCAGGTGTTCATGGCAGCATTGCCTGCAATCGGGAAAGGTGGAGAGCATCCCGGATGTTTGTCAGGAGTGTGGATACAGTATGGACTGCTCCCACTGTGGAGTACCCACAGGGGCTAAAGAGGATGGCTCAGAACTCCACGTTTCAATGTGGAGCATCCTCAAACAATGTTCAAGGAAAAAATACACAGCACAGAAGTATAGACAAAATGAAACCACCAACAAGATGCTTAGAAACAGACAGGACAATCCCAGACATGGTCGCACTCTGAGAGACAATGTGTAAAACGTGTAGTAGGAGGTTACAGACACATTATGAAAGAACACCAAGTTCAGTGTGTGGGCAAGAATGGAGCTGGGTGGAGACCAGGGTTCAAGTACATTCAGTGCCTCAAATATTCTCTCTCACTTTTTTTTTTTTTTTTTTTTTTAGACAGGGTTTCTCTGTGTAACAGCCCTGGCTGTCCTGGAACTTGCTTTGTAAACCAGGCTGGCCTCAAACTCACAGAGTTCCTCCTACCTCTGCCTCCTGAGTGCTGGGATTAAAGGTGCCACCACCACCTGGCATATATTCACTCTTAAACAAGGAGTTCATACAGAGGTATCCATTATGTTTCCTTTGATACTTTTTATATGCATAAGATGTTTTATAATAAAAAACATCTAAAAGAAAGAAGAATAAGGAAGAAATTGAACAAAGTTACCACAGGAGGCTGAGAGGTCGGTGTCTGAGCTGGGGTACTCTGGTCCCTGAGGGAGTAGACCCCTCTTAGTGAGGTAGCTCAATGCTGGCAGCTGTTATC